TTTTTTTGCACTCTACTAATGGCCAGCCTTAATTAGCTCTAACTGTATTGAGTACTTTGCAAATTGTTCAGTTCCCAGTCAGGCTAGATTTAAAGGCTGCTTTATTGAATGTGGTGTAAGACACACTTCCCGTGGCAACGGCATTGCTTATTAGGGATTTTTAATCACTCCTGAGACGGTGTGGGCAAGAAGCTTGCATTACTTTCCATTCCTGCAGTGAATGGATGGTTAGTCAAAAGTATCCACTGGAGAAATGGGTAGTCTTGCATCATTGATTGGGGCGGGGGATTAACTCAGTTTCTCTCCTTTGGAATAGGAACAGTGTGGTGTTTTGGTATGTAAATACCGAATGTGTATGTTTGATTGCTGTGATTTAAGATGGGGTTTTATGTGGACATTGCCATGGGTTAAAAAGTTAACCCTTCACAGCAGGAAGGCCCAAACTTTTAGAGCCGGTGGGCATCCTTGGAATTCTGACACGGCATGGTGGGTGTGGCAACAAAATGGCTGCCACAAAATGGCTGCCAACACAATATGGGTGCCACGGCTTAACTGTGATACCCAGGGGTCTTTTCGTAGAAAAAGAGGTGCAGGAGCTCATTAGCATAACTTATTAGCATAACTTGTTTGCATATGCCACGCCCCCTGACATCACCGGAAGTGTGTCAGAAGACAACACCTACCACTCAGGATCCACTGGACTGTTTTGGATTCCTAGCTATTGGGGGGGAGCAGAGGGAACATGCAGATCTGTCCTCACAGAGGAGAGAGAGCTTGTACCTGAAGGCGGGCAGGGGGGAGGCTGTGCAATTTACCTGGATGCTTCTTGCTCTTCGTGGCCCAACTGGGGCTGCTGGGAGCAGGGGGTGGGGCTTGTTGCATGTGCCTGCCCCCTGGGCTCCTTACTGCTGGAGCTCTGCTCCTGTGCGCTCCTGCAGGAAATGACCCCGCCCCTGGATACCACAGAGTTTTCAGGCCAAATGGTAGAGCGTTTCCCCCCCTGCGATGTACCCAGAATGATGACGCCATCGTGCCGGGCACATCAGCCAGATTTGGGCACTTTGGGGACAGGGTTACCCCTGCCTGCTGGATCTGGGACAGCAGGTCAGGGCCCTTTGAGCGGGCAGATCCCCCCACCCCCCCGGGGACCTGGCAGCCCTAACTCTACCTCACTGATTTTTTTTAAAGTTTCAGGTGGGTCGCCATGTTGGTCTGAAGCAATAGAACAAAGTTTGAGTCCAGCGGCACCTGTAAGACCGACAAGAAAGCTTACGCCCCAAATTAAACTTTGTTGGTCTTGAAGTTGCCCCTAGACTCAAACTTTGTTCTGATTTATTTTTAGACTTTTTTGGGGAGAAACCACCTGAAGGAAATGGTTGCGGATGGATGAGTGCAGGTCTTTTGGAACTCCAGCCCTTGCAGGGGGTGCATTTTTCCCTCTAAACGATAGATGCCATGGGGAGCTCTGAGAGGACGGTAAGGTTTGGGGAGATGTGGCCTGCCTCTGAGGAGAATGAAACACTGAAATCCTGCAGAACCTCCTCTCCTGTCCCTCCAAATTGCTCTACTGGTCAAAATGGAACTGATTAGAGACAGACTCCACACTCTTAAATGACAGACAAGAAGTGGATTGTTGGACTTCGGGGGAGAAATTGTGAGGAGACGAATTAAGAAAACCCCTCTTCACGGCACTCCTCTCAGCAGGCAGCAGTATTTAGAGCCAAATGAATCATCCACACATTCTCTGAAGCCCACGGGGAGGCCCTGCGAGAGACCAGTTGAGCTGGGAACAGAAGATGGGTAAGTGGCCAGATCCTGCCTCCTTATGAGGAGCCACATTTGACACACCAGCTGAATCTGCGCAAGGGTGCTCTGTGTGCCGCAAAAGAGTGGTGCACAGCTCTAATGGCTGTTGGGTGGAGGAAAACACATTCCCTTGCATGCATGGACTGGCATCCCCTAAAGGTAAAGGTTTCCCTTGCTCAAAAGCCAGTCGAGTCCGACTCTAGGGTTGCGGTGCTCATCTCTGTTTCAAAGCTGAAGAGCCAGTGCTGTCCGAAGACGTTTCCGTGGTCATGTAGCCGGCATGACTAAACGCCAAGGCGCACGGAACGCTGTTACCTTCCCACTGAAGTGGTACCTATTTATCTACTTGCAATTTCTTGCTTTCAAACTGCTGGGTTGGCAGGAGCTGGAACTAGAGACGGGGCTCACTCCGTCATGCGGCACCCTGGGTCTTGAACTGCTGAACTACCGACCTTCCACAGCCTGCAGTTCAGCATCTTAACCACTTGAGCCACCGCAGCTCCCCTACGAGGACACAAATGAGAAAGCACTGGAAGAGAGCACTGTATCTGGAATTGGACTGGCCCATGGCAAACCAGGTCTGGGTCTTTATCTCTGGTTCCAAGTAGAGCCCTAAATCCTACTTTGCACTCTCTTCGGTTTTTGTAATTCACTCTTGTTTCCGTACTAACACCGTGTCTTCCGTGAGGCCAGTGTCATGCAGGGGTCTACCGCCTTTTTGAACCTGTGGGGGCTTTTGACATTCCGGCGCAAGGTGGTAGGCACAACTACAAAATAGCTTCTGAAGGAGGCGAAGTCTAGCACAAAATGGCTGCTATAGGAGGAGAGAGACACACACACATAGGAAACCCAAGTACAGGGGAGAAGAGGGGTGATTTTTTCCCTCCCTCTTTCAAAATTCTGGAACTTGAGGGTATCCAATGAAGCTGATGGGCAGCAGGTTCAGGATGGACAAAAGGAAATACTTCTTTACACAGAGAGTGATTAAAATGTGGGATTCGCTGCCACAGGATGTAGTGATGGCCACAGTCCAAGAGACTGAGGGGGTCAGTGGGGTAGCTAAGTAGTCCTAGTGCTCATGGGAACTATGGATCCTATGTGACCCTCTGCTCCATACGTAAAAATCCCTCCATTTTCCGAAAGAAAAAAAGTTCTAATAACGTAATCCTGTTGTACTTCCAATAAAGATTCAACTGATTCATGGAGGAGAGGTCTATCAGAGGTAACTAGCCAAGGGAACTTCCTCATTCAGAGGCACTAAATCTCTGAATCCCAGAGCCAGGAGGCAACATCAAGGGAAGGCCTTGGCATCTCTGCCCTGTTGTTGGCTGTCCAGAGAAACTGGTTGGCCGGTGTGTGAGACAGGAGGCTGGACTGGATGGACCCTCCCTGGTCTGATCCAGCAGGGCTCTTCTGATGTTCTTATCAGGGGAAGGCCTCGGCCTCTCTGCCCCGCTGTTGGCCCTCCAGAGGAACTGCCTGGCCACTGTGTGAGGCAGGATGCTGGACTAGATGGACCCTCCCTGGTCTGACCCAGCAGGGCTCTTCTTAGGTTCTTCTCAGGGGAAGGCCTCGGCCTCTCTGCCCTGTTGTTGGCCCCCCAGAGGAACTGGCTGGCCACTGTGTGAGACGGGAGGCTGGACTAGAGGGACCCTCACTTCTGGTGTTCTTCTCAGGGGAAGGCCTCAGCCTCTCTGCCCTGATGTTGGCCCTCCAGAGGAACTTGCTGGCCCCTGTGTGAGACGGGAGGCTGGACTAGATGGACCCTCCCTAGTCTGACCCAGCAGGGCTATTCTGAAGTTCTTATCAGGGGGAGGCCTCGGCCTCTCTGCCCTGTTGTTGGCCTTCCAGAGGAACTGGTTGGCCATTGTGTGAGACAGGAGGCTGGGCTAGATGGACCTTCACTGGTCTGA